GAGACAAGGCAGAGGGGGCTTCATGGCCAAGCTGAGGCGTCAGACCTTGCCCGCAGAAACGCCCAGACAGCAGTATGTGGTTTGGAGGCATGATGCTGTCAATGGGGTGTGGACAGAGTGGTAAGTTTCCTATAGAGGATGAGAGGAGATGTGCCCTTTTATTATTACCAAAGGCAAAGCCGTTGGTTTCCTGTTTCATGTCAGGATATCCAGAAAGTGAAATGCATCTGCAAGTGCCATGGGTAGGAATAACAACAGGTAAGATCACCCCACTAGAGTTAACAGTGCTGGGGACTGAGTACAGGGCCTTAGATGTGTGCTAAGTGCCTTCTTTTCTTTTGAGACAATGTCTCATTAAGTTAGGCAGTCCTTGAATTTTTTTAAGGACTCATAATTTCTTTTCTTTTCTTTTTTTTTTTTTTTTGGACTCATAACTTCAAAACTCAGAATTTTCCTACTTTAGACTCCTGAATGTAGGGATTCCAGCCCTGTACCACCAGGCCTGGCTTCCACAAGAGTTTAGTTTATAATACAGTGTCTCCTCATGTCCTGCTAGGCCCTTAGGAGGGGCAGGGAGTTGGGGGAATGTAACTTGGCTCCCATCAGAGTAGGTCAGGGAATAAGCAGAAAATACATTGGATTATCTAGATGAGTCTTTAGAAACTGGAAGAGAAGCTGGGCATGGTGGACCATGTTTTTAATCCCAGCACTTGGGAGGCAGAGGCAGGAGGGTGTCTGTGAATTCAAGGCCAGTCTGGCCTACATAGCAAGTTCTAAGATAGCCACGGCTATATACAGAGACCTGCCAAAATCCTACCCCCAGAGGTGTTAAATGTGTGCAGGTTTTTTGTTTTTTGGTTTTTGTTTTGGTTTTTCGAGACAGGGCTTCTCTGTGTAGCCCTGGCTGTCCTGGAACTCATTCTGTAGACCAGGCTGGCCTCGAACTTAGAAATCCACCTGCCTCTGCCTCCCAAGTGCTGGGATTAAAGGCGTGCGTCACCACCGCCCGGCAGTGTGTGCAGTTTTTATTTACCATACTTACCAGTATTTTCCTTGCCATAAATCCTTTTGTTGGGTCCATACCTGGGATAAAACCTAAGGCCTGTGTGTTTAACAGGCAAATGCTATCCTATTGAACTATATCTTCAGCCCAGCCAGACCATTCCCCTGCAATGTGACTCTAGCCTGTTTTGTGACTGTGCCCTTTTATACTGAATTCCAGCTATGGTTTTGTTCCTCGTGTCTCAGCATCACAATAATGTTTGGTGACAAGAACCTTTGCAGAATAAACTTTGACCCATATTTCTAGTTACTTTGCAAATTTAAAGCCCTAAAGTGAGACCCACGAGCACGTGTGTTGGCTCACACCTATATTCCAGCACTTGGAGGAACAGGAGTTCAAGACCTCCTCAGCTATGTATCAAATTTGAAGCCAATCTGAACTACAAGAGACTGCACCTCAAACACACACACACACACACACACACACACACGACTGTAAAAATGGAATTCCTAGAAGAGACACTGAACCTTTTACCTATAGCTATACCCTGCACAGATACTCCCCACCCTTGTCTGCAGCATCTGAGAATCATGGTACAGCTTGATGATGTAACAGCACAGTATGACATCATTCTCACCTGGGGAATGGCATTGCCTGCAAGAGACATAAACTCTTGGTCTTACTGTTCAAGTCAAAGCAATACTCTGAAAGTAGCTATGGAAGATTTCTGTGCACGTAAATCCTTTCTGCTCACCTGGGTTAGGGGAAACACAAGGAACATGAGCAGCGAGCTGATTGCCAAAGTTATGCATAGGAAACACCTGGATTTGACTCTCATCCTCAACGCTGCACACCATGAACATTCCAGAGCCTGTTGGGAGAGCAAGGAGCATTCGGAAGTGACATGGTGTTGGTCACAGCAATCGTTATCCAACACCTGGGTGATTTGGATAGAGCCCATGTGATACATCGGCCTTATGTCTCAAGGAAACTTTGTCCAATCAGCACACAGAACCCTACCCCCAGAGAGAAAACATGAGACAGGATCAGCCATTCAGGAGGAAATAGCATCCTATGTGATTCTGAATACTGGGAATCCTAGTAGCTGGCTGGAATCAGTCTGCAATTTGTAAAGATAGTTTTCTTCCCAAGGAACCTTTCTTTGTTTACAAGTTAGTACCTGTTCACAAAAGGAAACATTTCTGAGCACCTGCTATGCAATTCTCTCCAAGTGTTTTATCCTTCTAGGGGCCCATGGATCAGATACATCTAAGAAAGAGAGAGAGGTGGGAGGG